GCCATTTCCCTCTGCCCAGTCTTCCTCCAGACTCTGGCAAAATGATTCCCAAATGACATGCAAAATTTGCTTTCAACCGTAAAAAGTACTTTGGACCACTGAGCAACAATCCAATGCTGCTTCTCTGTAGCCCAAGTCAGGCTCTTCTGCTGCTGTTTCTGGTTCAAAAGTGGCTTGACCTGGGGAATGCAGCAACTGTAGCCCATTTCCTGCACACGCATGTACACGGTGGCTCTGGATGTTTCTACTCCAGACTCAGTCCATGGCTTCCGCAGGTCCCCCAAGGTCTGGAATCGGTCCTTCTCCACAATCTTCCTCAGGATCCGGTCACCTCTTCTTGTTGTGCAGCATTTTCTGCCACACTTTTTCCTTCCTACAGACTTCCCACTGAGGTGCCTTGATACAGCACTCTGGGAACAGCCAATTTGTTCAGAAATTTCTTTCTGTGTCTTACCCTCTTGCTTGAGGGTGTCAATGATGGCCTTCTGGACAGCAGTCAGGTCGGCAGTCTTACCCATGATTGCTGCCAGGCTGGGAGTTTTTAAAAGCCTCAGGAATCTTTTGCGGGTGTTTAGAATTAATTAGTTTATTCAGATGATTAGGTTAATAGCTCATTTAGAGAACCTTTTCATGATGTGCTAATTTTTTGAGATAGGAATTTTGGGTTTTCATGAGCTGTATGTCAAAATCATTAATATTAGAAACAATAAAAGGCTTGAACTTCTTCAGTTGTGTGTAATGAATCTAATATATATGAAAGTCTAATGTTTATCAGCACATTACAGAAAATAATGAACTTTATCACAATACGCAAATTTTTTGAGAAGGACCTGTATATGCAGCACTGCAAATTAGGGCTGCAACAACGAATCGATAAATTCGATGAAAATCGATTACTAAAAGCGTTGGCAACGAATTGCGTCATCGATTCGTTGTGTCGCACAACTCTTCCAAAAGCGCCCCCTCTTCCCGCCCGCCGTTGCGCGCAGACAGATCAGCGCGAGGGAGAGCCGGCAGGTGTTTGGAAGAGGAACATGGCAGAAGCAGCGAGAGTCAAAAAAGTAAAAACGTTTTAAGTTTGGGAGCATTTTCAGTTAAATCAGGCAAAGACATTCGTTACCTGCAACGTTTAGGTCAGACTTAGCATGGCACGGGATGATGCAGCGTCTTAAACGCAAGCATGTCGGGATCATCAGCGAGGAAGGAGAGAACTCCGTGTCCGGGTAAATTAAAAACTTTTCAAAAGTGATTCATCCAAGTCCCGGATTATTACACAGGCTAGACATGCCCTAAACTCGTAAAAAAAGAGTCTAAAGTCGTGAGCGCGACGCTTATTAGATGAGCGGGGGGACTCGCGCTGCTGCGAACCGGTTCCGCCCAAGGCCGGATTAACTGGGCAATTGCCCAGGGCCCACGAACTCTAAAGGGCCCAGGGCACGAGCAAAATACTGTATCTATAATTTCCCGCTTTATGAGGACTATGGTGACCGTACGTTCCGTTTTCCCCGGACGTGTCCACTTTTCACTCTCTGTCCGGGCGTCCGGACTGCTGGTTCTTGTATTGATGAAAATGTCCGGCTTTTCATCCAGGAGCAGGGATCGAATTATGGGGGAGCTGTATATCCTACACATCCAGGAGAACCAGAAAAAAGTTTTCTATATTATATCATTTTTGGACTCTTTTGAGCAGAGAGCGGCACAGCGCATTGTTGCGCAGCGATCCAGGCTGCTGCTTCCGGCGCATAGTCCATTCTCAAAGTGGCGCAACCAAAAAACTATAATTGGCACACGATCGTTCATGTCTGCACATGTTCTCTATTTTCTGTCTTATTTGTGCCTGAAGCGCGCTACTGCGGAGCTCATCACCTGTACTTCGGTGATGTCACCTCACGCAGCATCGAAAACGCGCTCTGCGCTTTGCAGTCAGGAGATCCCTTTGATCTGCTCAGAAGTAACTGATGAGGTGAAAAAGTAAGAATCCAGGCAGAAGTTTTTCTGGAGAATTAAGAGGAGATGCAGGAAGATGAGAGACAGACAGGACAGGAAAATAGTTAAATAAAAACAAGAAAACAAAACAAAGTGTTGAAAAGTAAAATGTAGGTAGATTTATCTCCACTACACGTTTTTACCTATAAAACAATAAGTTACACACATGTAATATTTATAAATTTGATACTATTCAGATCACCTTCAACACTCAGTCACACACCCAGGGCCATTTCAAGACATTTTGGGGGCCAAGGCAAAATGCCCCCCCCCCCCCCCCCCCCCCCCCCCCCCCCCACACACACACACACACACACCCACCCCCCATAACTGGGCTCCCCAGAAGCCACTGTGTAATTCATACCCTCTCCAGGAGTGTTAGTTATACAGTGTTTATAAAAGCCCCTCAGACATTACTGACATGTTCTAATATTATCAGATGAAAAACTAAATTATCAGACATGCTGTCTCATCTGCTGCTTTTCTAAACTTGCAAAAAGTAACAAAACCATTTGAAAGCCGCTATTTGTGGATTCTCTGAAAGTTTCCATGGAGTGTGTGACAACTTATTTTTTCAGTCATTTTTGGAAATAGTGATCAATTTTGATTAATTCACAGCCTATGTTTAATTACATTTAAAAATTAGTTGTTTGACATCCCCAGTTATAATAAATGTCTACAGATGAGATCAAACAAAACAGATGAGAATTGCCCTTAAGCTGTTTAACTTGGACCAAGCATTTTAGGTCACAGATAGATGTAGCTTAGGGTCTCTGTCTATACACCTTATAAGACAATTTAGGTGATGGCATGTTGTTTTTCTGCTATTGAACTGTTTTCTAATAATGTTGTGTTAAATAAAGTGAAGGAATGAGAGAAATAACATTTCCCTAGCAGTTTTTAAAAATTTCCCCATGTAATCCAATTAATCGATTCATCGTGTCGAGACCCCATCCGATTAATCGATTATCCAAATAATCGTTAGTTGCAGCCCTACTGCAAATGATACCGTCTAACATTATCAGAGAAACCAATAAGCTGGTATACACCTCGGTGACCGTGATCTTTCACTTTTATGTGCTGAAGACCACAAGCTACATTGTTGCCTATGTAGGAGGAGACTGGAAACAAAGATCCAGGCAGGAAATACTATAATTTTACATCTCTGATAATCAGTAGCAAAAACTACAAAAATAAAGGAGGTTCCTCATTTTACCATTAACAGTATCAAGTGGCAAGGGACAAAAAGAACTACTAAAAGCTTAAAGAACACAGAGAAACAATTGGGAGAAGACATCACCCAATGTAACGTCTCCTTGGATGAAAGATAAAAAACCAACCACAGCACTTTTCCCACAACAAAAGCAAGTATGCATCAGTATTAAGTATCTCAAGATTATATAGTTGGACTACACCAAGCTGTGACATGAGCCACGTCTACTGGCTAAAGAAACAAATTGCTCTCTATGACTGACTGCAGAACAAACAAGGGACCCAGCAAGAGTTAATAAACCAATGCAAGACAATACCAACAATAAAGGGTCCCCAGAAGGGAGCAATCCCATACAACTACCAGCCTGTCACTGGTCTTTGTACAACATGGAAGCTTGTGTCAGGCATCACAGCAGCTAAGCTAGGAAGACACATCAAAACATCAGCAGGGCACAGAAGGGAATATGTAGTAACACATGAAGGGGGAGGATGGGACAGAACAGAGAAAATCAATAAAAAGAACCTGACATTGACTAGATCAGATGTAGCTTGAATAAGAAAAACATGGACTGAAGATGCATTAAAGAAAATTTTTAAGAGAATGGCAAATGAAGTCAAGCTAGAGGAAATAAAATGTGCTCTATATAAAAATTTACCAACTGCCCACGACAAACAAAAACAACTGGTTAGTCTGATGGTGTAAGCTGGTTAAAGCTGCTTTCCGGAGTTTTACCCTTTCAGAAATGATGTATGATTTTTCAGAAATCCGTACAAGTGATCATCTCATCATGTACAGTGATATAATGAAAGAAAAGCGTCTTTTTTTGGGGGGGCTAAGGGTGCCCCCTGCCCCGCATAGGTCCATGCAATAGGAAACTGAGCGCCGACCAGAACTAACCAATAGCGTTAGACTACCGCTTACTTGCTTCAAATTTAAGGAATACCAGCCTTCAGAGAGTACAGACGCTTTTTTCTCAGCTCCCTTATCGGCTTCCCCAAGGCTCTTGTCCTGTCTGCCTACAGAGCACTTCTCTGCATTTCTCCTGAAACCACTACACTTTTTTGGAAATATGGACTTAATTAATTGGTCATTCAACGTGATTGACAAAATTTTCTCTACGATGAGAACGGAGAAGGGGGCTCCCACCTGTCCAGAGGGGACATTCGCATCGGGATATGCACTCGATTCTTGGGAGGTCTGGCGAATCGTGTGCCTCTCTCAGCTGTCCATCGAGGACGTGGAAGATTTGTGGATATTCGGCCTAATGATCACTGGATTTCTTCTGATTGGAGTGGGAGGATATCTGGTTTTCTGGAAATTTGGGAAGACGGGAGCGATTGGAGTGCGACCCGTACCCACGGAATGTGCCGCTCGTGCGGTGACCTCACAGACTGGGACGTTACTCGAGGTGAACCGTAAGCTGGACAATGTCCTTGCGGCGTTGCCTGTGTTAGTGCGCAAGATGGATTTGATCTCGGAGAGGGTCGCCGGACGATGCGGGGATGTGGAATGTAAAATTGGCTTCACTGGTGGACATGAATGACCACTTAGAGACTACAAGACGGAGAGGAAGACTATCTCTGTCTGCCCTAAACAAAGTCATGTTTATCCTTATCTGACGCCATAGCAGCCTCTCAAGGCTGCCTCAACACACCCCCACAAAAAGGAGGAATGCCGACAGATGCTGTGTCCCGACCTTCACCCTCTTCCTTCAGATTCTGCAGGAACTTCAATGTGCTCTCTGTTCCTTATCTCTCCCTCCCACCTTTTGGTCTGCAGCTGGTCGATGCGCCGCAGTGGCAGCTCCCACTGGAGGCTTCAGGATCCCGCCCACCCCCACCTCCCCATCGGACTCTGATGTTGTATACGTGCTGTCTGTGCTTCCATGTCGGGTGTTTTTTTGCATTAGAGTGCTACACCCTGCTGGTGTAACCCTGTTAATGCCTTTTTTTTCCCCCTCCCTGAACTTTCCTCATGTAACACCCTTTTCATCTAACTATTAAGGTAGCGCGACTCATGTTGCGAATGACCGCAGTCACCAATTCTTGTTATGTGTCTTACCCACGTATGTCTGATCTTTGAATTGTGTGTGCTGAAACTGAATTTCATTTCTCTGTAAGTCCTGCACATGTGGAGAATATGACAATAAATGACTTTGACTTGACTTTGACTTGACTTGAATACCTCGGCTGATGCAGAGTTGATGAACTTTTCACGGACAAGTAATTGTCTCTAAAATATAAATATATGAGAACACAACATGACATGAGAATAATACTTGTAAAACGTGTTTTAATTATGTTTGTCAAGCTACAGAAGCACACACATAAACAGAAATGTGAAGTCGCCATCTTAAACAAACAGAGCAACAGAGTTTTTGTGTGATATGCTCGTCAGCTACTCGATGGTGCCATTGGATCAAGTCCCCATAATTCGGGTCTGGATGTGAAGCAAAACGGGAAGTGACAAAAATTGCAGTTCCACCCTCATCCACTGGGGGCTGGTGCCAGAAGCGAGCAAATCCTCATTGACTCCAATGTTAAAAATACAAATTTCACAGCAGAAATAAGCACATTTACAGCCTGGTTCCAAAACATGTTTTAGGTTTAATTGATCTAGTTCATACTCGTGACAACTCTGAGGGGGGTGAATTTTTTGTCACTCTTCTTTTTAAGAGTATTAAATGCCTAAAATTCAGAATAATTAATGAGCATCAGACCCACGTGACTGCAGAGCTAGCGCCGGCGAAAGGCCTCAGCCTAAGCCTCGGCCTCGCTTTAAAACTGCTCCGCGATTTTCAGTCTCTCAACTTAGACTATTAGTTGTGCCGTTTGTGTATTCTTTTTGGATGTTGTTTGTGCAATTGTTGGACAAAATGACTTGCTGTGGCATTAATTGCACTAATAGAGCGTCCAAAGAGTCTCCGCTTCATTTTTTCGGTAAGTACAATTATATTTATGTATTTTAGGTCACTGCTGCTCTTGCACTAGCTGAGCTTAGATTTTAACATGTACTGTTTAACCATGACATTTAAATTTAATAGGGTAAAACCAGTGCATTTAACATAATGCTGCATTTTTGAAAATGGGTTGAAATATGACGTTGGTGGAGCTGGGTTCCGACTATTGGTGTGGACTCCATCCCATCAGCGGCAGCTCGGCGCATCTCTGATTGCAGCGGCGCCTGTCTGCTGCGCGGGCTGCCGGCTTGTGGAGCTCTCGGATGGATGGATGGATGGATGGATGGATGGATGGACGGATGGACGGACGGACGGATGGTTTTACCCAGCGGTCAGCCCGGTGCATCTCTGACCCAGAAGCTCCGGTGTTGTGCACAGTTAACTCTGGTTGTAGCTAGGTAGCTACCTCCGTTAGCTTAGCTCCCACTTCCGCATTAGCTTTGGGCTAGCTTGTAGCTACATCTCTTCAGTTCGACGGGTGTCATCATTTGATCCCAGCCTTACAGCCCCGCACTCAGCTCCACTTCTTTTCCCTTTTATGGAATTGTCTGGGCTTGACGGAACCTGTGACAAGGTCAAAATGGCGGTGGTGGCCACCTCCCATTTTGGCACAAAAACTTTTAATTGGAGCCTATGGACACGAATTGTCCAGTATATATGTCGACACATCGGATAAGAGAAATGCTCCGGAAAGAAGCTTTAATAAAAACTTAATGGTGTGGTTCACTCGTTTAAGCATTTGCTGTGGCCTCCAGTTGGAATGAACACTAGAGTTGCACTGTCTATTTTCTATCAGAAGCAACTGCAGGATATAGGTGTAGGAAACTATTTTCATGCTCAGCTTGCAGAAAAAACTCACATGATTGAAATCAGAAATTAATAAATGTTTTTTCAGTGAACTAGACATTTAACACTCCAATGTTATGTTGATAAAATAACCAATGTTTGCAACAAAAATAATCCTATTCCTACAAAGGTTAGTGCAATTAAAAAGGGTGCAGGCACATGTATTTAGGGTTTTCCCAGCATGTTTACTATAATAGCAGGAGGAAAAGAATGCATAATATATAGTTTAAATTACATACTGAATGAAACCACCACCATCTCCACAAAAGAAACTAAAACAAATACAGTTACTGTGTGTGTGTGCAAAAGTGCTACAAAAGCTGTGTGGAGCCAAGGGGTGTTTCCCCCCACCATCAGTTGGCTGCTGTTCTACTAAGCAGTAGAGGTCAACACCAGTGACCGTGCCTTAAGCATATGACCCTGTTCCGTGTGTGCGTGTGCGTGTGTGTGTGTGTGTGTGTGTGTGTGTGTGTGTGTGTGTGTGTGTGTGTGTGTGTGTGTGTGTACACGCTTGCACATTTAGCTGCTGCGCAACTGATGAAGATGAGTAGGAGGGGTCAGGGTGGGTCAGTGGTGACTTGGTGTGATTTTAGTCTGTTGTTCTTTTTAAAAGCTGGGGAATGGTTAACACAAAAGGAGCACGAGGGAGGAGTGTAACCAAGCTGATGGATGTGAGGGATAAAGAGACAGAGAGCTCTGAAGAAATGCATCAAGCCTTGAGGTGTGAGTTTAAGACAGCGACTGAAGGACAAGAGGTGAAAGTTCAGTCCATGTGACCAGAGCTGGCTGTTTATTGGGCATCAGTGCTGTCACATTCACAAAATGTGTATACAAAGTTTCATTAAAATCCAGAAATTTATTTATTTATTTTTTTCCCCAGAATACAATTCCAGCTGCTTAAAAACATGCTGAAAAACAACAACCCCAGCACATCCACTTCCAACCCCTCTCTCAATTCCACCCCACCTTGATCCACACAGACAGGTGTGGGGCTATGAAAAGGCCATGGTGTCTTTATATACAGCGTTCAGAAAAGGTTATTAGACATCACACAGAACAGGCGGCTGTCTCAGCCAATAAAGAGAGGATTCATGGATGCACGGGCCAAACTGAGTTGGGGGGGTCAAATTATAGACTGGCAGGCAGACGTTGGGATTTGATATACAGGTGAATGCAGACGGGACAGCTGCCAACCCTGACATTTAACTACCATCAAAAGCTAGCTTAAGCTATGTGTGTACGCACACTCCTGTTTATGTATGTGACCTGAATAGGACAGTGTGTGTGTGTGAAGGTCAGATACTATCTCACACACACACACACACACACACACACACACACACACACACACACACACACACACACACACACACACACACACACACACACACACACACACACACACACACACACACACACACACACACACACACACACACAGTCTGCAAGTTCCTGCTGTCCTGGACAGAATTTGAATATTGAAGAGTTAGAGCAGAAGGCTCAGTGACACCGGGACAAGGTGATAGAAGTGGACAGGTGTGTGTTAGTGTCGGTGTGTGTGTCAGTCCTTTGTGCCAGAACAGCTGGTGACTAGTCAAAGGACATCAGTGACCTTCTCCTTATCCCTTCCTATACCATCTTTCCTTTGTCTGCCTCTCCCTACGTTCCTGTGTCCCAATCCATCTTATCCGGAGACGAGTGTTCCGTCTCTGTACAAGTGACGGGTGCAATGAACGGCTGAACCGCCAGGTGGAAGTGGATAATTCATGAACTTTGTGATTTGTGGCTTTGTAAAAAATAATGTGTAATGTCTGTTTCAATGACTAAGCAAAAAGATGAATGTAAATTTAAAAAAAAATAATAAAAACTGGGATAAATAAGATAATGTGGGAATTTCTTACCTTTGTTGGCTGTTGGAAGAAGAGAAACATGTAGAAACAAGCACCCAGAATAGTGGGAAGTGATGGAGGAGAGAAAAGACAAATATAGTTTATTACTACAAATATAGTTTATTACTTTGGAACTTTAAAAAGGAAAAATAATATATAAAAATACGTAAGTCAAACACTCACTCTTGGTTTGTGAGGAGAAGGTTAAGGTGAGTTTGGCAAAGAGTTCATTGCTCTGATATTGTTCCTCTTTGGCCTTAATCCAGAAACTGTTCTCATTCAGATCCTCTGGGCCAATCTAAGTCAGAGAAAGGTCAGTATGTCCAGAACAGAAGAGAGAGGGGGACAAAAGAAGAGGAGCGAAATGAATCACATTTGTTATATAATTGTTTCATCCAACCGGCTTGATTTTTCAAAAATGGTTATCTGCACACCTGGCAAACAATGAGCCAAGCAGATAAAGAAGTCAATAGAACAAAATGAACCAGCAGGGGTATAATGAGAGGGGGAAGAAGAAGATGAAGAAGAACACAAAGAGGAAGGTACACGCGTCATTTTCTCTAATTGTTGCACACTTTTTACCAAAAAGGAACCTGAACTCTTAAAGAAAAAAATCTTAATTTCACCTTCACTATTCTTTCCCCTTATTTGTATGCACTCACACAAGTCACAATTAACTTTTCTTTCCCTCCACTTCCTGAATGTTCTTATCGAGGAGACACAATGAGAGAGAAGGAAACCCCGAGTGAGTGGAAGACAGTGATAGGGAATGTATAGATATCAGGCCTTTCATTATGGACAACCCTCAGGGATGGGTGTAGGACCGAACAGAGGGAGTAAGGAATGGATATGTGATATGAGAATGAGAAGAAGCAAAAAAGGAAACCATGAGAGCATGCAAAAAAGGAGGATGTGGCAGAGTAAAAAAAAAAAAAGTTAATTTAAATTACAAAAGAATACCATCCTTTCTAGAAGCTATTTAATTATCTTCCAGTGGTGCAGTTAAAAGAAGAAGGCTTATTAAAACGCAATTTCTGTGACATCCTCGTCAAACCCTCACACCTTCCTAACAAAGAGGGCGCACGAGAGGGAGAGGCTAAATGCTGATGAAGTCTGCTTTGGCCATTAAACAGTAGCTTTAGGCTAAAGAAAGACAGAAGGACGTTTTGATGTTTTAACCATCACAGATGAGAGGGTGTGGAGGAACATGAAGCACAGTCCTGAGATACACATATGCATGCAAGTCACTTTGGGTGAAGATTTCGCTGTCAAAGCTCAGACTCACTTTTCTCTCATAATGTGGAACTGATCAAAAACACAATGGCTCCTTTCAGTTCCTCACTGCACATTTAAATAGTAATATTTACCAAAACAGCTGGAGTGATGTGCCAGCTAATCACCAACAGATTTTAAAAATGACAACTTTTAGCTTTGAGTTATTTAGCACCAAGTCCTCAAATTCAAACATCTGTGTCAGGAGGAACACACCATTTAGCAAAACTAAAACCTGCAAGTAATTAAAAATGGAGCAAATATCTTAAATAAAATGAAGAAAACCTAAATATTTAAACAAGACCCACCTTGCTCCAGTTTGCCCTCTTTAGCTGGACCTCAGGCTTGAAATCCTTTTTAGGTTGGAGCCCAAACGGCAGGGAAGGTGGTGCAGGGGCACCCCAGCACATTGGTGGAGGTACACCTGGCCCTGGTGGGGGTGGAGGAAAACCTGGACCACCAGGGGGCGGCGGTGGTGGCGGAGGTCCTGGCATTCCAGGTAAGGGAGGTGGTGGTGGGGGTCCTGGCATTCCAGGTAGAGGCGGGGGTGGTGGAGGTCCTGGCATTCCAGGTAGAGGTGGGGGTGGCGGTGGTACAGGCATGCCAGGAAGGGGTGGGGGTGGTGGAGGTCCCGGAATGCCAGGTAGAGGGGGTGGAGGAGGTGGGGGAGGAAGACCAGCATGACCCGGCAAAGGAGGAGGGCGTGGAGGTACAGAGGTCTGGCCGGGCAAGGGTGGTGGTGGCGGTGGAGGGGGCATGCCTGGTAAAGGGGGGGCGGGTGGAGGTGGAGGCAAACCAGGTGTTGGCACAGGAACAGTAACTGTAATAACTTTAGTTTTGGCATCTTCTAGATCCTTGGACAGTTTTTCAATCTGAAAAAAAGATGTTTACAATCTACATTAACGATTAATGTTCAGGTGGATACTTAATTTATGTAATACTGAGCCCCCTTGCATATCTATCAGATGCCTTTATTTACAAAAACATTAAGGCAGTGTTTTTGAGGGAATAATAGTCGACCCAGAAAAACTAATGTTGCAACGGTCATGGGAAGCACAAGAACCTGGAGAGCTACCAGGGACCAGTGGAATAATTGTCTTTATAACGGTGCTGTTCCTGAAACTCTCCCCACTTGTCTCAGTGTCTGTGCCAACCATTTAAAGCCAGAATGCTTTATACATTTAGAACAATATCAGGCAAATATGGCAATAAGGACTCATTTAGAAAGAAGGGCCATTCCAACACTGAGAACCTTGCCTGAAATTCAAACGGTAAGGCAGAAGTCTGAATACTCTGTGATGGACAACGTCCTAGCTTGCATACACAGAGAGGTTACTTTGGAGAGAGCTACTGAAGATAAACCTATGATGTCAGCAGCCCTGCTTCCTTCCACCAATCAATGTGCCCTTCATTTGCATTATTGTAATGACTGTCCGGCACAGCCGAAACATTGTGTGTGCTGTTCATGGGAAAACGCAAGGATTTCCAATACAAATTATTTTTATGGCCTAAAAGACTATATTATGATGTAGATATCCACGGTAGTAGCAGGTAATGTCTCCTTTAAATAAATTATCAATGTGATTTTTTTACTAAATGCAACCCACTTTCTCCAATGAGGTTCAGATCACCTCTCTGCTAAAAAAAATTAGAAAAAACACGCTGCTCAAAAACAAAGGAAAAACCAAAAATAAGACATCTTAGATCTGAATGAATGAAATATTATTGGTTCTTTACATAGTTGAATCTGATGACAATCACAAAAATTATCAATGGATAATTATCAACCCCCACTGTGCCTCCACCAACTACTGTCGGTAGCTATGTTAAACTCTAAACACTTTAAACTCAACCTCCAATAAATAAATAAATAAAACAGCGAGCCTCAGGAAACATCTGTAAAGGTTGAAAGGAGACAAACCTGAAGTCCTTGATAAAAAAAAACGTGTTATTTAGTGATGACATTGGTTGATTTGACAAACAATGAGCTCAAAACCACTCCCGCAGCATCTCAAAACTTTTGTTATGTTGTCTGTAAGACCATCATTGGTCAAATGGCGATGGCTGAACATTTCCAAACTCCCTTGTTTGTGAACAAGATGAATTTCCATCCTTTCTCTGAAATTGATGTAAAGAGTGACTGAAACCTGACCAAATACACCCCCCACCCCCAATACAAAATCTCTTTGGCTGTATACGTCTCATGTGATTGCCACATTTGGCTTCAAAAATGGAGATTTTCACCAAAACCTGACATGTTTGCAAGTATGAGGTTAGCTACCCTTTTCTTTTATATAGGTTGTGTTTTATATGAATCATTTTATTTTTGCATCTTCAATTGTGTGGTTGAGTTTGAAAAGTGTGCCACTCCTCTAAACCAGATTAGATAATATATCTAATTGGACATCCCTGGTTAAATACCTTTAAATAAAATGAAGACGTCTACTGAAGAAAATAATAGCAACAAGGGAAAAGTCAAAAAGATTAGAGCCTGGGAAAGACTGTGCAATGGAGAAAGAGATGGAGAGGAAACACAGGGCAAAGCACATAAGAAAAATCATAGCAAGAGGGAATTAAATCCATAGAGAAATTCAACAGAAAAAGTTTTAAGAGCAGAGGACAAACTTCTAAATTAAAAGCGAGAGTGAAATGAATTTTTCATTACCATACTGAAGTGCTGATTACAGTATTTACATCAGTAGGTGCCAAATTTTGAGAAAACTGTCCAAGTCATTAAAGTCAGTCAGCTAATAAGAGCTGATTAGCATTTGAATATAGATATACCAAAAACAATTAAGGGAGAATGTGTATTGAAAAGCTTATTTTCTGTGTGCCTATGAATGTCAAGCAAAAACAGTGTGTGTGTGCGTGCGTGCGTGCGTGGGTGGGGAGTGGAACCGTCTGTATACAGCAGCGTAACAAATTGTTTGTGTTGTTCTCTCGGACTTTGAAAAGAAGACAGTAACAGACGAACAGAGCCTCCAAGGCAGGCCTTCTTAGTGCTGCAGCAGATGAAGAATTGGGCACAGCATCATACACGGGGACACCGAGAGATCTCGACATGAGAAGAAATCTTCCATCGGCAGCGCCTCAAACACACAGAGTGAGCCATCTTAGTATGAGAAGTTTGTTTGATGCTTGGCTCACGATGCTGCTGACGCTTTGGACAACTGTGTGCATGTTGTTTGTTTAGAGTCTTTGTGTAGTTAGAAGCTGACTCTGCTGGCACCAGCCACCGTGAATGATGCTCATCTTGGAAGTTGGGTAACTGTTCAACTGACAGACACACAGACAAACGTCTTCATGAGGTTATGAGCACGCACGCATGCACAGAGGCAGACGGTTCTGGGTCACTTGGTGTGTATGTGTTTGTCACAAGGTCCAGCTGGTGTGGCAGCAGGACCCTGACAGCTAAACAATCCTCGTCTCTGCCACCAGTGTACACACAAACAGTATGTGTATCTTAGCCTTAAAAATATGTTTGTCCTGAGTCCGTTCAATTCTTTCTTCTCTCTTTAGTCACTCATTCTCCCCATTTCTATTATTTATAAAATTCCTAATCTCTACAGGATTTGGCTTCATTTCACAATTTCCTTTTAGCTCCTTTCATGCATTGCTTGGCTAAATTATTTAAGACCGGGGGTGTCTGTTTTCTGAGTTTGCACTGATGTTGAGCAACTTTTTGGGGTTAATACTTTATTATACTTACTTTTATGACTTGAAATATTCTGCTTCTTGCTGTTTTTTAACAGATTAAATTTTGGGCAGAGTTTTCCAGGATTTGATTTAATCATTTAGGTTAGTGTTGAAGATGTCTCCTCAACTTTTGCTTCACAGAGGCTGAGGATGCATTAATGATTAAAAACCAAATCAGGTCTTCCCGAGATGGACAATTTGCCACAAATATTTCTAGGAACACGACACCAACACAATGTTCCAAAATAAATGCACTCAGTAAAATAAATGCATTTTTAAACTAAAGAGACCTGTGTTTTCATGTGTGTGTACCTTGGTTTGCAACGAGCCCAGTTCTTTCTGTAGAGCCTGGTTCTCCTTTTCTCGCTCCTGCTTAGAAGTGACCAGCTGTTCCTTCTCCTGGCTCAAGTCCAGCAGCTTCTGTTCATAATCACCCTCCAGTTTCTTCAGCTCCACCTGCAACTCGTGGCGTGCCGTCAACTCTGCATCCAGCTGATATAAATTTAAGTCAGATTTAGAGAGATTCAGGCCTCAGTAACCTTCACAAGTATTAGGCAGACTTAATTTTTCTGGTTAATGTGGAGAGGTGTTATCTAGGAAGCAGTGAAGTGTGTTTTTTCTCGGATTTCACAAGGACACTGAAGAAAAGGTCACGTTAGTCTCTGGGCTGCATGCGACTATTCAAAGTGCCCCCCCCCATCCATATTCAGCAATATCCTACTGCTTTCCTACCGCCTGGGTATAAAATTAGGACGTACGATTTGTTCCTTTGTAAGTTCAATTATGATCTTAGGCATCAACGTGGGATAGCGAAACAGGTTTCTCTGCTCAGGATATCTGTAAAATCTCCTGTAGGCTACATAAAAACCAAGGAGCAATCCCTCAGGATTAATGTCAGGGTCTGGTCTTCAAAGCTGACATAATTCTACAAACATTTCATTAAATGGATGACTGAGGAGGAGGAGGAATCAGAGTTCTGTAATGAAATGTGGGAGCCAAGTGTGCTTGAATGCACAAGCCTTCAGGATCCACGGTGAAGAGGCAGCAGTCTTCATATCTCACAGACCTGTTGAAAACCTTTCTAACAGTCTGCTTCCTGTTTCTTCCTGTATAATTTACACTGCAAATTAGTGTCACTTATAAATTGAGGATGCTTCAGTGCTTTTGTAGGAGCTCACATCTCAATTCCATTCTTTTAAGCTTTCACCTTGTTAATGAGGGAAACATTTTACCCCAATTTTAATTTCCTCACTTTCTGCACATATCTTTTTTCTGAGATTCTGGACAAACAGAACAAGTATTAAGAAAGATGAATGCATGAACACACAGACACACGCATGACTGTTTAATTTGCAGAAAGCGGATCCGTTACTTTTGCTGTCAGCAGCCTGACAGCCTTATCCTTAATTCCTGCCAAAGGGATCGCTTGCAATTATCCCATCAGACACAACTGGTGTTATGATGTGTGTGCTCCATGAAAATGGATCCAAGTCTCTCTAAGGAGCAGGCGGTTGTGTGTCCATTCGATGGATAGGATTCCAAAGAAAAAATGCGTATTGAGTATTGATGTGTGCATGAATGAAGGCGACTTTTCAGCTCCGTCTTTTCAATTATCCTGTCACCACGACAGAAACATCCGACTGACAACACACCGCAATCAAGCCATTTACCTCTCTGAGGGTTTTTTACACGTGTGTGTGTGAGCGCTCTTTTTGTTGCCGACCATTGTTCCTCCTTTTATTTTTTAAAATTCGTCACCTCATGCCAGCCTGACAATGATCAATCCGGCTTTTATTATAATGACGGGCAGCTTCCACAGAAGGAGCGTTTCCTTTGAGTCCATGTCACGATGAAAGTCTGCACGTCTCTGGGTTGGTGTGTGCGTTTTTCGGTGTGTGTGTGTGTGTGTGTGTGTGTGTGTGTGTGTGTGTGTGTGTGTGTGTGTGTGTGTGTGTGTGTGTGTGCATCATTTATTGTCTGTTAGGTATACCCTGTGTGGATTTTACCTTCTTCTCTAGCTCGGTGGCTTTTGTCTCACTGATTTCCACTTTTGTCTGATTCACCATGTTGTCTACGGACAAAAGCAGAGGGGGAAAAAAGAAAATTAGAAAGCATATGAGCGGCTGTAGATTAGATAAGCGTTTTGGCAACACATCTGCACGCCTCTAGTCACAAAGCCTTAGCACCCTTTAGTCTGGCACAGGTCATGTGCACTCACATAAATCTACAAACAGATTCATGCAACCCATCTATCTTCCCGCTTCTTCCCTTATCACACTACTCACAGTCAAGATCTATGAGGCGATTACAGCGCCGTCTCATTACAATAGGATGCTTTGTGTAGCATGCTGCTTCTACATATCATTACCTTTTAAGCCGTCAGCACACAAACCTCTGTGACTACGAGCATTTGTAGAACAACACCAATTTCCCTCTATGCAAGATAAATCTCTCGTCTGGGAGTCGGCCATTATCAGATATTCTGTGCGACGCAGGACAGAGCGAGAAGGACACAGAATGACCAACGGGATCCTGTCACTGAATAATTGCAGGGTCAACAGGTGGCTCAGTGCTGAGGGGCTTACCAAGCATGTGCTGTGGTAGAGCTAATTAATATGAAGATTAATGCCACAATGTCACTGGATCAAAGAGTGCTTATGATGCCCAGGAGGGAGGATACGACGCAAATAGCAAAAACAGAAGGCTGTGGGAAGCTAAAAAGGGACATTTAAACAGTGTGCACAGATACGGTGGAAAGGGAAGCATACAGATTATGAGATGAAGCTACATTTGCAGACACTATAGGTGGAAAGATGGATACGTTGTGAGCTCCCGCATTTAAAAATGAGCCAAAAAGCACGAGGATCACAATTTTCCCTGATGAAAATAAACTTAACAATAACATTCCAACCCACATGCAATTTCAGTGTATTTATGACCAAGTTCAAGTGGTTATTGGATATGTAATGGACGTGTGTGTGCGTGTGTGTGTGTGTGTGTGTGTGTGTGTGTGTTGGGGAGGGGCAACGGTGGCTAGGCTAAATGGGACAAACTCTAAATAGCGCACTAAGGGAGATAGAGTGTAGAGAGAAAAACTGTGCTGAATTTCAGAGTTCAAAGAAAAACACTAAATAATGCATGCAGGGCAGAATTGGGCTGCTTTCCACCAATAATAACTCTGACAGGCTTAAAGGAGGGCAGCCAGCCCGCGCGCGTGTGTCAGGACGCATTTAGAAGCAGCGCAATTAGAGTCTCCTGCAGTGAGCAACGGAGACCTGCCATAAAGAGCAGTGGACTCATGAGACATGGCCCGCACCTGCATTCTGCTGGGGTGTAGCCCGCTGCAGTCAGCGATTACCTACGGCTGCCACTCAAGTCAGCCTTTGCCCGTACATGCAGCAGATTTCACAGAAGTTATTATTTCATCAGAAACAAGACCACATTTCAAATTTGTATTCAACAAAGAGTGACACGAAACTGATCACACGGATCAGTGGCGGTCACAAAGTCGGCTTTAATTCCTTCTCGCGTCACCCTTTTGATGGAAGATTAAGGTCCGTGTCCAACCATTTCTGTTAGTTTACAAAGAAACCCCAGGTTATATCATTCACATGCATCATACCAGCTTTTTCCCCTGCACAAAGTGGTTGAAACATGTCTCTACATCTGTTGCTTTGTTTATTTGAAGCATTTTACTTGGTTAAACCAAGTGGAACACTGAAAATTTCCACCTGAAGAGACCTAATGCCCCTACTTTAATGATAGCGCATCACCTCCATCACTAGAAAAGCTTCTCAGTTTAGAATGGATATGTGGATCAGGCATAAACATCCGGGATGGCATGTCTTAAAAAGCAGTTTTGACAGCCCATAAATCAGCTGTAATACTTTGATTCCTGTAGGAAGTCTGTGTCACGCCTGTAGCTGGTGAGGATTGTGATTTCTTGTCTCTCTGTGTGTCTCAGACACCTTAACATGCTCAGAGACAAATGAAACCAGACACTGCTGGTTTGTTTTAATATTACAGATAACATCAGAGGGTAGAATATGAGCTCATATGATCTTACAGGTTGTTGAATTTAAGAAAACATAATTATGTCTTCGTAAACTGTATATTAGACAACTGATCTATGATGTTAAAACCTGTAGAACAATTCATACTTACGGCTCCTCTCTAGCTCCACCTTGTGGTGAAACCTCTAATGCAGTATGATGAAATCGACCAGATCTTACAGAGATTGGATGTTTACATTAACAGCATATTGTAAATGTATGTTAATTATGTCTGGTTTAAACCTGAAAGTGCATCATAGTGTAGAGGTAGGCAGACCTGGAAGATGGGAAAGCTGTGATCCAACATCTCACCTATCAAGTGATCAAAGTTGAATTTGAGGTTGCGGCACTTGAAATCAGGATCCGCTCCATTCTTGTGAAGCACGATCTGAGCAATACACTCGTCAATCAGCTTGTAGTACTGAGGCCTGGAGGAGGGAAGGAGAGAAGCAACAGATTCCTACTGAGACCAAATACCATACAAGTGTTACTGAAGGATGGTGCAGCTGAGAATGTGATGGATAAAAGAAAACACAGCTGTAAAAGTTCTGCATAATTTGCTACAACATGAACAATCAAAGCAAAAGTATGTGCTCAAGAAGTCGATAACAAATCAGGCGCACGGTGTGAGCAGAAGGTCAGTCTATGACTAAGAACAACTGGGCTCGCCTCCTCAGACAAATGTGCGAACACACATCCTTTGCTACTTTGTCTTTGAAACTGAGATTGCCTGTCTGTGTGAGCGGGGCAGTTTGAGTTTCTTGTCACAAAGATTGATTGTGTGCAACTGCTTGGGTGAGAGCTTGCTGATTTGTGTCGAGCGCCAAATGTCTGATCAAGCCAACTTCACGCAGATACTCTATTCTGGAGGTGTCTTATTCCTTGACCCCATTAGATGCTGCCAGAGTCAAAAACTCAACACTTTATTTATTCTGTCTGCTTCCTACCCCGCTGCCTCTCTTTTGCCCCCTGCCTTTGTCTAATGCTGATTTCACCTCCTGACTATACTTCAGGCTTTGCTTTTCCCATTTTTATTTTTTCTTTCCCTAAAAGTTGAGATTTATCCGTGAAGCGAGAGAGACATCTAGTGTCATCCTAAAGGAAAAAGTGTAAATCTGGATTTATCTTCAAATTTGTCATTTTTGATTTTCTTGAACATACATTTTTTTTAATAAATAACTGGAATGAGGTCAATGCTAGGCCTAAGGCTATGTTCGTTTGTTAGAAATCCCATGACACCTCTAAAATTCATCAACTAAACTCTTTAAAAGTCCATGAAAATTCACTGTATGTAAAACTAAGAATGTTCTATGTTGTTCTGTTATATTCCCAGGACGCTCTGGAGAATTCAAAATTTACAAGGACAGCAAATCAGCAGGTACTACAAGTAGCAGTTTAGCTCAGCGCTGCTTTTCTTCTGAATTACTGTGGTATTAAACCTTAATTCCTGCCACTCTGCAGCCTCTCCTCCACTTACTTCCTGGGTGTTTCTCAATGTCAAGGAACCTCGCCTTGATGCCTTGGTCCTGTCCCAGTTGCCTAGGAGATACATCAGGAACCGCCAAGGCACGTTCTTTTGTTCATGTTCTACAGAGGCGTCTGTTCTCCGTTTGTTAGCCGTTTAGCTAGCTGAGCAAGGATACATAGAAGGTACCTTGTAGCCTTCTCTTGGTCAAAAATTTCCCACAATACATAGCGGTATTTACAAACGGATGGCGGATCAGGAGCTGGCAGCTACTTCAGAGGCAAATTTCCAGTTTAAATTTAAGTCAACTAATTGTAGCCATCGGGCTGTTATCTAAAATGTTTTTTTTTTTTAGATCCAAAGCAGTCATCTATGGTTGGTTAGTTGCTTAGTAGTTGCAGCTTCGGTGGCTAGCAGGTAGTAACTTGCTTACATATTTAATTTAACCAATATATAAACAGTTAAGAAAGTAAAAGGCTCATTATACATTTATATTAAACCTATACATATAAAATATAACTTAACCTCACGGGTCCTGTCAACTGACGTGACCGGAGCCTCAGCTGCGGTCACGTGAGGCAAGCCTGTACCATTTAACCGTTTCCTTTGACCAAGGAAGGAC